GCACAAACAATGTTGCTAGCTATTTTGCTAAAAAATAGCGCTATTTTAGATGCTACTAAAATCCACTGGCTCTGGTTCAGATGAGAATAATTCAGTGTCAATATTATCTCCAGTTCCAACACTGTCAGTTTCAATTGAATCAGTAATAGAAGCAGTAATAGTGCTTGGTAATTCATCTTGTAAACTTGATAATGTTGATGAAGGAGTCAGTGCGACCCTTTTATTTCTTAAAGGAGGGATAGAATTTTTACGTTTAGGAGGAGGTGCAATGCCTTGATCGTAAGCTTCTTTAACCTTCTTCTTGCGCTCAGTTTCCACTATGAGAAATTTATAAGTATTAACTATTAACATTTTATTAAAATTGAAATAAAAAATTGGTTACCCCAATTTCCAAGAATGCTTTCAGAAATTTTTTGTAAAACGAAATCTCCAACTGAAACAGGAAATGTTGGAAATTCACGCTTAAACTAACCATAAGGTAGTATATATTTAATTATTAGAACAAATAGCAACAATAATAACAATTAAAATTATAATAATTATGTTACTGCAGTACGTACATCATTAATTATTGTTCTAATTTTGCCAGGTGCCTGACCTGACGCATACTTGCCCTTTTGGCAACTAGCCCCTAACCTGTCACGCAGGTTTCTCTATATATGTATATGCATATAAAATTAAAATAATCATATGTATATATATATAGGACAATATATAAAATTTACCTGATAAGTCCAATATGTATCATGTGGTAAACACAAAAAGTCTTTTCAATCTTCCTCTAGTTTCTTTGTTTTTTCCCACTGTTTCCACTCTTCTTTCGTAATTGGGTTTTGAGCAGACCCTCGTGGAAACTTATTGAATTAATTTTAATAAATTTTATTATAATTTTTTTTTTTAAAAAAAAAAACAAAAAAAAAAATAAGAAGAAGCTATTTACTGATGTATTAACAACCCCTACAATAGCATTTGATACTGAGTAGTTTGGGCTGTGGAAGTAAGCATTTGCTGTAAAGTTGTTGGGTTTGATAATAGCCGAAGAAGTAAAGCAATATTTGGGTTCGTTTCAATAGATGTAGTTTTTTCATTGTTATTGTTGTTTGTATTGTTAGAGTTATCAGTCATATTTTATGAAAAGACAAAGGTAAAAATTAATATTAGGTATTGTATAAACAAAGAAAGAACAAATATCTTAATTTATTATTTTCTTGGAAATTTAATATGTTAAAAGCTTTTATGTTGGTTAATTAAAAGAAGCCAGCGACTTGATATCTTAAAAACTTATTATTTTGAATGATTGTATGTTGGTGTAACAGTGATCAGGTAATATGACTTATTGGTTAGATCAGAGCTCATACATGCAGAGTTTATTTAATATTTGCATAATATATTGCTATTTTTAATACCCCGATCACTATATCAAGATCACGGGGTATTATTAATACAAATAATAATCGTTATAGCGATAGTAATAATAGATTTAAAAAATCATAAAAAAGAATTGTAATAAAAATAAAAGTTCTTTTACAAAATTAGTGTAATAAAGCGAATAAGTACCTTAATAGATCTGTTTATGTATATAAGAGAAAAATATTGGTAGAAATTGACGAATAAAAGGCATTGTTAGAGAGAAATAACAATAATACATATAAAACTTTAAGATTTACCTATATTGTGTCAGCAAAGATAAGACAAGTATCGAAACCCTGAAGTAGAATCAAAAAGGTTTTTACCTATTTGTTATCTCATATCAATTATTATCTAGCTATCTAACTAATTACTTATAATAATTCAAATAAAGTGATGGGAAAAGTAGTTCTTTGTTGTTGTATATTTTGTCAAAATGAAACCAATAATGTTGGAAAATTAGCAAGCATCTCTTCCAGAACAAGACATCGACGAAGAGAAAGAGAGATTCAAAGTTCACATAACATACTACATAGTATCCCATCGGTCAATATGCAAACTTTGAATATATCTGGTGATGACATGCAAATTTATAGTATGTTGGAAAGCTATAAAATCAATATTTCTGAATTAAGTAGCCTTTTAAAAAGTAACAATGAATCGGAACTAGAACATAAAGAAGAAGCTAACAAGTTAGAATTGGAGCCTGAAGAAGCTGATGAGTTAGAATTAGAGCTTGAAGAAGAAGCTGATAAAATGGAGTTAGAACTTGGAGAAGGTGTTAATGAGCAAGAATCATTGTCTTTTATATCAATAAACTCTTTAGATGAAACATCTGATTTTTTGACAAATAGAACTTTCATAGAGTTTGAAAGTAGTGATGATCAAAGTTCTGAACTAGAAGAAGAGAGTAGTAATAATAGATATATTCCTGATATTGGTAAGTAAAGCTTCTAATAAAAAACCTTATTAGCATACAAATTGTTAGTTGATATTTAATTAGTTTTTTTTTTTTTTTTTGGTATTAAGGTGAGGCCTTGCTCGTATCTTTATTGATTAATTTATATAAGTAATTACATA